GTGTGTGTGTGTGTGTGTGTGTGTGTGTGTGTGTGTGTGTGTGTGTGCGCTAATGACAAAGTGTGGCAGCAGGCAAGGGCAGAGGGGGTTAAAGGAGAGTGGCACATATCTGTTGCTCTGGCATGTTCAGAAACCATCAACCGCAGCTGTAAGGCCCCGAGAGGTAACCGAAAGATTTAACGTGCCTGTAATGAGCCGTCAATAAGCCGCACACTGCATGAGGCCGTTTACCATAAATATGCTCTGTGACCAGCAGAGAATAACAAACGGATAACAAGGATCTATATTTGGACACTTGTGAGGCTTGTAAGCCGACCGTATGTATTTGATTCTCAAGCTTGGGTTTGTCACTTAGTGCAGGTCGATCTACAGAAAGTCACTTATCAAGAAAAACTGCCAAACATTTAGCCGGTTTTAGCTTCATAAATGTTCATATTTGATGTTTGTCTCTGTTTTATATTGTCTTTTCTATTGTTGGGCATGCTCAATGGTCCTAAACACTATGAAGAATGAACTTTGTCGCTATAACAAATCATCTGACTCCTGCTCAGAGTCAGATGAGAAGATCGATACCTCTCTGGTACCTGTACACTAGATATTAACGCTACAGCCAGCAGCCTATTAGCTTAGCTTAGCATAAAGACTGGAAGCAGGGGTAAACAGCTAGCTTGTCTCTGTCCAAAAATACAATAATCTGCCGACCAGCACGTCCAAAGCTCACTAGTTAACATGCTATATCTCTTTTTTTTTTTGTTTAATCTTTGCAAATAATTATGAGCCTGACTATTTCTTGGTTTGGAGCAGTGACTTCCTGGAGACTCGGCCTGTGTATATTTGGGTTCTAAGCAGAGGGAACTGGTGAATAAGAGTCTTACTCTGTAGCATTGGTGCTCCTCTTCCTCTACCGACATCGATCTCATAACCCTAACCTCCACCCCCTCCTTCTCTTTATCCTTTCCCCAGCCTGTGCGCACCGAGGGACCTGCCGCTGACCGTCCAGTCCTGCGTCCTCCCCAAGGACTGCCAGGTGACCGACTGGGCCGAGTGGGGCCCCTGCTCCAAAACCTGCGTAGACCCCGCGTCTCCCGTAGGCAACCGCACTCGGAGCAGACAGGTGGTCCAGTTCCCCGTGGGCCAGGGGGCGGAGTGCGTGCCGCTGCAGGACTCTCAGTCGTGTGAACCTCCGGGGGAAGGCGTGCCGCCCTGCTCCACGTGAGTCCCCCCTTGATAGCAGGGGAGGGAGCAGGGGCTCTTTGAGTGAAAGGAGTGGATGTGGGGGGTGTTTTTTCCGTAGCGGAGCACTCGACGGGCGCTCATGTTTCACGGGGATACAATTGCACATTAGGTTGTGATAATACCTTCCTCTTTGGTTACAGCGTTGTTAAGACGTCGCTGCAGTACCGAGCGCTCTGCAGGGATTCATTCTGTGTTCCAATAGAGCTCAGGAACAAAATACAGTAACGGTACTCAACCTGACTGAGGCCGCACACGCTTCCTGTTGGTTTCCCTTTACTCATACCACCAAGCTAATTTGCTCTCCTGGGTCGCCCGCGCGTGTGTGTGTGTGTGCGTGTGTGTGCGTGTGTGTGTGTGTGTGTGTGTGTGTGTGTGTGTGTGTGTGTGTGTGTG